GAGAGAGAGAGAGAGAGAGAGAGAGAGAGAGAGAGAGTCCTCTGCAACACTGGATTCAGAAGAAGGAGAAAGATCCTCTCCACCTTTGGGTTGCTAATCGGAATTGTCAGAGGCAACATGTTTGCCACCCAACGGGAAATGCTTTAGAAAAATCCCTCAGGAAAACAAAAAACAACGAATCTGAGGACTCCACAGTGCACCCTGGAACAACAGTTTCTGGTGACACCACCAGACCTCTAACACAGCCACATAGATCAGCTGCGTGCTAATCGTCTGGTCTCTTGACTGACTTCTCCAGCCTCCAATACAGAGAGAAGGCTGCAGCTGCATGCTAATCTTCCCGGCACCAGGCTGCCCGTGTTTCTCTCCTAGACCAGCTCTGCTGCATTTGTCACAGCGTTTGTGCTGACTCGGGCCCCCAGCTCACGTCCACAGCTTGCCAGCCGGGCTGAGGTGGTGTGGTGGGTCTGGAAGGCTAACACAGCCCTCAGGCTTGCTACACAAAGAAAGAGTGTGGTGGCACCAGTTCCCTTCCCCTCCCCACCCCCCCGAGATTTTGATTATGGAACCAAAACCTGAAACTTAAAGACTTATCTAGTCACATAAGTGTCGATGCTGACCCATCCTCTGAGAGCCACTTGGCTCTGGCATAGGTGCCATTAAGACCTAAACACAGCCTGCTTTCTCTATACCACAATTCAGTCTCGGCTAGATTGTAGCCACAGCCCAGGCAATGCAGATCAGGGGTTCTAGTGTATGTTATCCTACATGTTGCAGGCTGCCTGATCTTCCTGCCCTGAACCCTAGGCATGCATCTCCTCTAAGCTGCATACAGTCTTCCGCAGCAGCAGCATCTGGACTCTGGTTGTCACTGTCTGCATTTCTTGCTGTGACTGCCCCCCCCCCACCTCCGTGGTGCAATCCTGGGGGAATCCTCCTGAGCTTCCCAGGGTTTGGGATGTTCTTTGTCTCTCCTTGCAGTCTTTCCTCCGGTGTGCCACACACACACACACACACACACACACACAGCTTGATGCTAGCCCTCTGGGGTGTGAAGCCATAGACTCCACTCTCCACGAACACCAACTTTGGGTTACTACAGATCCATCTACGTAACGTGTAACCCACAACCCCGGGTGATTCCGGGAAGAAGAGACTCAAGCCGGAGGGGCTCTTTGGAAACTGTGACTACAACAAAGAATGTAGGTGATACAGGTCTGTGGCCCGCCTGAATGAACGATAAAGATGAAGAGCAGACAGTGTAGGAAAACGGAAACCATGCACGTTGTTAATGAATAAAGCAGACACGTCACCTCCAGGACAAGACCTAAGGGAAGGCCAGGAGCTCATACCCACCTCCATCAACATAGTCGGGTTCTTACACCTGGCCCTCAAGGTCAGCAAGGATGCAGTGGGCGATTATACAGCAAACTCTCATGAGAGAGTACACCCACCAGACACTAAAACAAGACTATTGTGAACCAACATTGCCTTTCCGGACTCTCACCATGGGCCAGAACTCTGGTGGACTGACCCCACTTAGGATTGCATTTATTTTATCCATTCAGCCACGTGACAGGACTTTCCAAAACCTATGGCTGATCCTGTCCCCTTTCTGTCCCTCAGACCTGACCCTGGAGTCTCACCTAGCCCAGGGCTGAGACCACCAGGGAAATAGCACCTGTGGATGTGCCTGCCAAAGCCTGAAGCTGCTCCAACTTGAGCTCGGGTGGCCCTTCCACGGGAGCAATGTTTTATGTCTCCTTTGGTGCCCCAAGCCGTTTCTCCAATGTGCCGAGGCTATGACCAAAACTGCTTCAGGATGGTGGACCATTTTCATGGGTGTCAAATGCCATACCCTAGGCCAGGGATGTAAATACAAATGCAAACCAGGGCATCCTTCTATCCCCCAAGGAGCTCAAGCTTGCGGCAGCAAGCCTAATTATCTTTTCCTGTGAAGAATTCAGACACCACCAGGTTATGAGATATTTTCCCCTAATATCAACCAGCTTTCTGGTAAGTCTGGATGGATTCTGAATTAGAAATGGGCCACCCCACCCCCACTCCTGTGTGTTCCATGGCCACCATCTCAGTCCCTTTCCAAGTCTCCCAAGAAATCCCCCTGGGGACATGTTAAAACGATTCTGGGCTGCTGGGACTCAGCAGAGTCTGGACTACAATTCCTCCATGGCTAGGTCCCCTTTGAGATAATCCCCCCGATTTTAGAGTGGGCTTTATGACCCAAGTGCAAGCTCAGCCCAGTTCTCACTTTTTAACAAGGAATTAGGGAAGCACAAGAAATCTTCCGGAATCAATCTGCAGCATCGCAGCAGCCAGCCTCAGCAGAATGACTGCTCCCGTAAACACGGCAGAGACATGGCCAACCAGCCAGCCTCTGAATCCCCCATCCCGACTCACCTGAGCAGCCCTGCCAGGTCCGGTTTCCTCAGACTCTCAGCCCTGAGAGCTCTGTCTTGTCTTAGGGGCTGTGTGCAGTGCGCTTTTCCCCGTAGCCAGGCAGACGTCAAAACATCCCCAGGCTGCAGCACGAATCTAAATTTGGGGTCCTAGTCAGGGGCTTCCAGAGGTGTCTGGCGCTGCCTGGCACAGCCGGTAAGTGTCTCAGCTCCATCCAGACTGATGAACTGGCATGGGCGCTGTGTGGTACAACTCATCTCGCTGGCGTGAGGAAGCTTTAACTGTCTCTTCCCCGAGCTCATAACCTTCAAGTCACAGACTGAGACAGTGTCCCACGATGCCACCATGCTCATGCCCCAAGCTGAGCACAACCAACCCCTGCAAAGTGTGCTTGCTGGCTAGAAGGCAGCCACCACTTTCAACAGAGTGCGTCTGAGTTGAAGGCTGTTTATCCCCACCCCCTCCCAGTTAAGTCAATCACAATACATCTTAAGTGTGAAGATGTTTGTGTTTATTCTAGTGTTCTTCCATAAATACCTGCCCACTGAAGCCATTTCCCCCCACCCCTCCTCCCCCATGAAAACAGTTCTACAACCCTCCCCTTACTCTGGTACGGCATATTGTTCTGATTTAACTTATCTGCGTAAGACTCCTTGTGGAAAGGATATGGTTGCTGGAGGAGACATGGCTATTTAAACCCTGTAGCCACTTCAGAGGTTAACAATACACACCAGGATAGGGCTGTGTGGTTGGAGGGGTAAAGGGGTGTGTGAGAAGAGCAGAGTTGAAGCTCCAAAGATCTGAGTTTCAGGCACAGTGGTGACGCCACTGCATCGATGTTGGGGTTATTCAGTTCCTGGGCATCAGGAGCTCCTGGCTAGAAGATGTTTTGGGCAGCTGGTGGGACTGTCCTAGCTGGTTGACAGCATCATCATTCCTGTATTTGAGGTTCTTTGGACCAAATGTATCTACCCATAACTTGCAAAGGCAAGAATCCCTCAAGGCTCTTGATTTTCTGAACCCCACCCTTTCATTTAGCCCCACAACTCTTACCCTGTCTCAGTCGCAATGACCTCAGTGTCCCCATTAGTGAGACAGGAGGACAGGGTTTGGTGTGGGCTGATGCAGTCCTGGTGAGGAATAAATGGGTTAATGTGTGGGAAATCACTCAGAAGCCACGCATGTCCCACCAACTGATCGATAAATCCTGTTACTGCAGCTCTAGTCAGTAGTTCTGATTCTACCCATTCTCTTCAGAAGGCAAAATAATTCACCTAAACAAAGGAAATGAAACATCCCCCAAAATGAGTGCTATAAACTACAAAGTATCATAAACTACAAAGGTACATAGGCAGAGGCAGCCTTCAGGAGGGCGGGTCTGGAGTATTGTCACCCAGAGGCTCTCAACTCTGTCTTCCACTTCCTTCTCCAGGTTCTGGATGAATTCAGTGTCACAGGGCATGAAGGAAATTCAAGAAAGTGTTGACCATGCATGGTCACATCTAAAGGTGCAAATGACTCATGTGCCACTTGAA